TGTGGTAGCATTTCCATTATATTATTATACTCACAATACACGAATAAGTTATTCATTAATTGCTGCACAATATGTCATTACTAGCATTGCGGTAATTTCTACTGTCATCGCGAGTTTAATTGAACCAACTCGGCAAATATCTAATTTTTGCATGTAAGTAACAATAAGTAAATTCATTATTTTAAACAAATCGAGATTTTATTTCTAATTGTATCTCTTGTCATTACACTTACCGTAATCAAACTGTTCAAATGAGATAAGAATTTTTCACTTTCAAAATCTACGAGAAGATACTCTTGCAGGCTACACAGTGTATACTCCTCTCACTTTTATAAAGTAATACTATTACTGGCCTGCAGTACTTCATTTCTGAGTGTTGTCCTTATGGTCATTGTTGTTGTCATCCTAAGAAAGTATGGTTTGAAAAATTTGCTACACCAATTCGTCATTCAATAAATTTATGCCATAAACATTCTACAACACGGAACTATTTGATAAGAAAACTACCAGTAATACTAAAAATCGAAAGCAATGTTATCATTCGCTAATATAAGTATTAGCGTAAATAAAGACATAGCAAATATCAGTTCTAGTGAACTGTTGTTTCTTTTTGTTCTTTAGGTCAGGTGAAAATTTCTATAAGCTTAAATTCGAAATTGAACAGAATTTTAATATTAATGTCATTATTACTCTCAGAAAATTCGGTGCGCAATTCCTTTCAAATAATTCGCATAATTTCGATTTATCAATTTTTCTCAATAATCAGAAGCGATACACTCAAACGGCAATAATCTCGTGCTGCCTTACATTTTGTAAGTTTCTATACTCGGAAGATTTTAGAGTATAAGTTTTTATACTTTTTCAACACTCACCTGACTATGCAGCTGTGGAAAAAATTGTACTTGATCTTTTGCATATCATGTCATGAGTTTTACAAATAATTTCCTGCTCTTATTGCTTTATTTTGCTACTTTTATATTACAGTTCTTGTTGTGATACCATCAACTCTGGAATATATTTATCTGATGGATTCTACCATAATCTCGCAAACCATTGTGATTTGTTGCGCGCATTTGCGTCTGCTGAATTCCTTCAATATGGTGGTGTTGTTTTTATATCGTCAAAAAGATTTTCAGTACGCTGTAGTTCAATGCTTCAAATTCCTATTCTACAGACGAAAGCAACATATTCAACCCGTCGTAATCGTTGGTTTCGGTGAATGAACAAAATCTATTGAAATAAATCGAATAAATAACATTGTGCGATTGCTGTTTATTGACAATTCTTTAAGAAAAGCTTTGAAAATATTCTGAAAGTTTTTCTAGATTTCTAGGTCAGAGAATACCGGAGTCTTTTTTAAGTGACTTAAAAATTGCACTGAATCTTAGTTTCTTATGCGAAAGGATAAGAATAAGAAAAGAAATAAAAAGCTAAGTTTCTGGGATTTGGTTTTAGGATGATAGATATTATGTGCTGAAGATGACCATCCATGAGTGCATACAATTAGAGTCCTTTAATATATTGGTCAAATTGAGTTGATGAAGTTGTTGAAACTTTAATTTGATTTGAATTGCAAGGATTGTTTGCAGAAATCCAGAGATGATTTTTTTTAGGACAATTTGATGTCAATTCAAGAGATGGTTTTATTGTTTAATTTTTGATGATTTGACTTACCGTTTATTCTGTTAGTGTAACGATAAAATATTGAAAATTGGAAGTGATTGTAATTGTTTTTCGAGAGGAAACGCAATTAGTTTCTTTGCTGAAACGATAGATGGAACGAGAGATACTGATTGAAACTGAATTGAACTGAATGACCGAACTAACTGAACTATATGAACTACATGATTTGCTCGAACTCCTGCCCTGTGAACAGAGCGATAAGCTTATATAGCCAATTAAGCATCAAAGATTATAATGAATAACAATCTTAATATTTTGACATAAGCACTATAATCATATTATAAAGCTGACTAATATTACCAAATTTTATAATTTGTACAGAACTCATTTTTCTTGATAAACACCTTGTAATTTTATAGACTTAAACGGGATATGATGTCTTGAATTGAGTTGATTTGTTTAAGGTTTACCTAAGTTGATTTGTTTAAGGTTTATTTAAGGGCTTGTCGACTGATTAGCTGAATTGTTGATCTGCTGACTATTTTGTGTAATGATTTATTTAGTCAAAGAGGTTATGGTGATTCAGATAAGTGTTATTTCGAGTTCGTCGAGCAATAGGTTCTTTTGGATTTGATGTTTCTTGTATTGATTCTTTTAGACTTGATAATTGAACTGTTGAGTTCTCAGTATTATCAACTTCATATGTTCTTGAATTATGCAAACGGCTCCTGTATTTCAATAGCGGTCATTTTCATCGTAGTACAAATTCCATTTCCTTACTTCTTCTTCAATTATTCCTTGAGATTGTGCTTGCATGATTAGGAATCTCGTTGCCACTATAAGGTCTGATAATGTTAGTTCATTTCGTGACGTTGATATTTCCTTGAACTATGTGAATCTTCCTTCCGATGTAAATTTTATGAATTTTAATACCCATGCAGTCGTTCTTCATAGTCTTGATCACTTGCTAAAGCGATTGGCACCTATTTGTTGAAAATTTGCACTGAGTTTTGTTGTAAGCTTTGCTTACGGTGTAATTTTCATTTCTTTCGTTTTCCTGTTCTCCATCAAAGTTATATTCCCACTGTGGCCTGTTGGTTTCTTCTTCTTCTTACCATGATAGATCTTATCACCATAATTTATAGTTTCTAAGCTTTATTGCGATATCAAGTGGATTATCCTTGCTTGGTATATTAACGAAATAAAGCTTTTAATTTCCTTATTTCTTCTATTCGATTTTGCACGAATTTTGATAGTAATCGTGAATGATTTTGAAACCAGTGTAATGCGTACTTAGAATCAGATCATTATGTTATCGGTACGTTTTCATATTCCAGTTGATTTATTACGAATTCTACTGCTCGTACTCCAATGGGTATTGCTAATAACTCCAGCCGGAGTATTGTTATACCTTTGATTGGCGCGATGCACGATTTAGCGAATATCAAAAAGGTTCTGATGAGCTCCATAATTTCGTAATATATAGCTGCTGAATAGGCTACATATGAGGCATCTGTAAAGACGTGGAGCTGCATTTTCTCCCAAGGATGTATTACGAATGGTGGCAGTTCTTGCACGTTTATTGGCCATTTCTTAAGGAACTCCACATTTCCCTGTCTTCTTTACTTATATCTTCATCCTAAGTGTTATTTTTTTCTCCATAAGTTTTGAAGGAATAATTTGAATTGAATCATCGTTGGAACGAGAAATCCCATTGGATCGTATTGCGATGCTATGAACTGTAAAATTTTTCTTTTATCGGGTTCTTCTCATTCTGGATTTAGAATGATTTGGAACATGTCTAATTAACACCAGGAATTTTTTAATTGGCTTACTTCTGCTCGATCGTTTTTCGGAATAATTTGGTTGAATTCGTTGTCATTTGAAAGAAATTCCCGTTGAGGCTTCTTCGAAGATAGATTTCATTTGTTCATAATTCTTGAGTGCTTTTTGGGGGGTTCCTTTATTGGTAATATAATATTATCAACGTAGAGATTTTTTCTGATTTCCAAGGCATTTTTACTTCCGTGACTTTCTAAATGAAAGTGTGGTTGATAGTAGAAAGGGGGATGATATTATTCCAACGGTAATTTCTCCTTAAATATCTTTTGGCCATAAAAATCGAATAAAAATCGATAAAAATCGAGCAATTTTGGCTCTGATGGGAATAGTTCCAATTGTAGGAATGCTTTTTCAATATCAGCTATTATTTGAAACGAAGTAACACACCTGCCAGGTCAGATAATGTTGTAGGATCGCGCAAAACATCATTTAAACTTTTCATACCTTTAAAGTGGGCCGAAACATTATATATGATTCGGAGTTTTGTTGTTGATTTGCATGGAGTTAATACCTCGTGATGCGGTACTTCTTCGATAATATTGAGTTGCATTTGTTCTTTAATTATTTCATTTGTATCGATCGATAGAGCAGTGGTTCGTTATTTTTGCAGTCGTTTCATTAATGTTCACAGTCGTCCAAGGTAATAATGACCATAGTTGTCCTGCAGGATGACTTTTGAGTCTTTCCACAGCCAGCAACTTGGTATCTTTTGTTCTTTTTAGTGATATTTTGTTTGAACTGTTCCAGAGCCTTCTCTTCGTCCTGGAAATTTGTTTGTTCTTGGATACCTATTAGTTCTAGTCTCCAGAATTGATCTATTTCTGGAGTGTGTTGACCGTGGTGACTTGAATAGAATTGATCTTAACAAGATCTCTCCGAGTTCAAGTTATCCTTCACTAAAACTACTAACCATGTTGATATATCCTTTCCAGTTATTATTGGTCCAACTTTTGTGTTGAGTAAGTAAAGTCCTGATTTCATGTTATGGATTTCGTTCGGCGACATGAAGTCGAAGAAATAATCGGGCTCCAATAAGTAAATCAATATGCTTCCAATATCCACGAGCTTCATCTAGCTGTTCTTAACTTATCATACGCTACATATCTTTATTAGTTGATTTGATGACTTCTAGTTTATCCGTTAAGTAGTATAATACATAAGTATTGATGATCATAGTTTCAGATTGCAAAGTTCTTATTCCGACTTCTATCTTCGTAGTCTGATAAAATTTTGGAATTTGAAGCTCTTTGAATGAGAAGAGAAGAGCTTCAAGTCTTTCATGGTTTCACTCAAATTGTTCTGCTGTTTAAAGTAATGATGGCTTCTTTACCGTTGATTTCAAAACGTTTAATTTCGTTTTTGATATCCGTTTCTTGATTTCATATTGTTGTCATATTTCTTTATTCGGCAGCTTTGGATCTGCTAGTGTTAAGTCAAGTTCCCTAACATCTTCAAGGAGCTTTGAGATTCTTTCGGTAGTTGGTTGAGTTTATTTGGCTAAAGAAGTCGGATTGCACCTCACCTCGGGTACTAAATATTGTCGTGAAAAGTTTTGAATTGAGTTGATTTGTTCAAAGTGGTTTATCGACTATTCGATTGATTAGCTGAATTGTTGTTCTGCTGACGACTTTGTGTAACGATTAATTTGGTCAAAGAGGTTATAGTGATTCAGATAGGATAAGGCGAGAATTAAAACCAACATTAATAACAATCACATTGGGATATTTAAAATTTGGGATATTTAAATGCTTAAATAGGATGTGAATTAATGGGCGTGTCATGATACAATTAGATTAAGTACAAAGATGATGCAAACAAATAAAAATATTAAGATGAATCATGAGAAAGAAATATGCAAATGAACATCTGGGTAAAAATAGTTTTATGGTGAGAATTTGCTAGTTACTAACAAGGAATAATGTAAAGCTCACTTACATTTCTCACAGATGGTGAATCTTCAAATCCTTATCAAATTGTCAATCATCAGATTTTACAATTCTTTAAAACGAATACAATTACTTGATTATAGTTAAGGATTAATTTCGGATTTCCCGACATATGAATCTTTTAAGTGTCAACATAAAATTATAATTTTTATTAAGGAATAATTCTCATGAATTTATTTTAATAATAATATTTTTGCATTATAGTGGAATTTTAAATTTAATTTCGATTTTTTGACAATAGTTACCGGAAAATGACTCAAACAAATTTCTAACAATCAAAGATCACATTCTCTTATTTATCTATGTGAGAAGATACTGAACGTGCGAAAAGTTATATCCATGCAGAAACATACATGTGCAAAAAAACGCTTCTATTCAGAAATATATTACACATGCCACGTTCAGAAACATATTATACGTGCCAAAAAACACATCCATTCAGAAGCATATTATACGTGCCAAAAGACACATCTACTTAGAAATACATTATATATATGAAAAGACACATCTATTCGGAAACAGGACCGATGTTTTGAAGTCTTTCGAATTTATTAACATCATGTAGTGAATTTACATTTAAGCAAATTTATAATTTTCTCTATATAAATTAAAATTTTAATCAAACTGATAGAGATCAAAACGAATATGAAAAAAATACCATTTTTTAATGTATATGCAGGTAAATTAACTTATATGCAATATATGCAAAGAGTTGATCCTCGTGTTTAAATGAAGTTGATCCATTTGGACCAACTTCATTTAAACACGAGGATCAACTCAAACTTAAGTATGTGAACCTCATAAATTTTCAAATTTTATTGATTAATATATGATTAGAAATTTAGATTAAATCGATCAAAGAAAAAAAGAAAATGAATGATCACAACATGCTAATGTCAGAACAATTAAATAATTGCTTAACGACTCCTACTGTTCTAACCATTTCCAAGCTTCAAAAATAGCATGCAGTGAAAAAGAATGGACAAAGGTAAACTTTTTAATTTAATTATGAAAATTCAGAAAAGAAATAGAGAGAAAATTGAAAGTGTAAGATTTCTGAGCAATTAATTAAAATCAACTAACAATTTAAACGGATTACTTAATAACAGATAAAGTTCTAAAATATTTCTCAATCTTCTTCCCTTTTAATAAAATTTTTATAACAGTTACATATTTTTAGACCTTTATTTGCAATATGTATATATTGTTGAAGGTTGTGATATGCATAATTAATAATGGCATTACAATCATTCGAATGATCGGTTTCCTTCCATCGTTCCCACAATCAACAATCCATTTGTGTATTTGCAAAAAAGTGAGGAAGTCTTTTACGCGACTGATAATTTGATTGCTTAAACAAAACAATCCCGATTTCATCCTGGTTTTGCAGTCAATTTTGTCTTGGCTACCTCATTCTCCTTGGAGCAAACTTTTTTCTCAGTTTTTTCTTACATTTTCCATTCTTCTTTTTTTTGCTTAGTATGACATTTCACTTTGAAATTAAAGTTGATTTTGTTTCTTTCTCGTCTTCTTTCATTATCGAAGTCAACCCAAATGATAGAAATATATTGCTAGAAAGAGATAAGCGTATTGCTTATTACACTGTGACGCCGGGATATATCGGGATTAAAAAAGAAATATGATTTATCGAGATCTCCTTCTCCTAAA